TCATTTTCCAAAGTGGTTGTACCATTTTACATTCCCACCAGCAGTGCATAAGAGTTCTAATCTTCCCACAACCTTTCCAACTTTGTTATTTTGTGTGTTTTTGGATTAGTGCCAGCCTTGTTGGAGTGAGATGCCATCTCACTATAGTTTTGATTTGTATTTCTCTAATGGCTAATGATCTTGAGCATTTCCTTGTGTGTCCCTTAGCCACCTGAATGTCTTCTTTGGTGAAGTGTCTGTTCATATCCTTTGCCTAGTTTTAATTGGATTATTTGTCTTTTTGTTTTTGAGGTGTTGCAGTATCTTGTAAATTTTAGAGATTAGACCCTTATTGGATGTCTCATAGCCAAAATTTTTTTCCAGTCTGTAGGGTCTCTTTTTACTCTTTTGGTGAAGTCTTTTGATGAGCATAAACGTTTGAGTTTTAGGAGCTCCCAGTTATTTAGTTTCTTTTCTGGTGTTTGTGCATTGTTAGTTATGGTTTGCATACTATTTATGTCATGTGTTATGGCCCCTCACATTGTCCTCATTTTTTTCTTCCATGATGTATCATTTTAGATTTTACATTTGTGTCTTTGATCCATTTTGAGTTGGTATGGTGTGATGTATGGGTCCTGTTTCATTTTTTTTTACAGATAGATATCCAGTTCTCCTAGCAGTGTTTGTTAAAGAGACTGTCTTTTCCCCATTTAACAGACTTTGGGCCTTTGTCAAATATCAGCTGCTTATAGATGGATGAATTTATGTCTGGATTCTCAATTCTGTTCCATTGTTCTATGTGTCTGCTGTTGTACAAGTACCAGACTGTTTTGACTACCATGGCGGTATAATAGGTTCTAAAATCAGGTAGTGTGAGGCTTCCAATTTTGTTCTTCTTCCGTAATGTTTTACTTATCCGCAGCCTCTTCCCTTTCCATATAAATTTGGTGATTTGCTTCTCCATCTTGTTAAAAAATACCATTGGAATCTGGATCGGAATTGTATCTATAGATCGCTTTGGGTAGAATTAACATTTTCACAAAGTTGAGTGTTCCATCCATGAGCTTGGAATGTTTTTCCACTTATGTAGGTCTCTGTTGGTTTCTTGCAGTAGTGTTTTGTGGTTTTCTCTGTATAGGTCTTTTAATTCCCTGGCTATATTTATTCCTAAGTACTTTATCTTCTTAAGGGCTACTGTAAATGGTACTGATTTGGTGGTCTCCTTTTCCAAGCTCTCTTTGTTGGTGTAGAGGAATCCTATTGATTTTCGTATGTTAATCATGTATCCTGCTACTTTGCTGAAATCTTCTATTAGTTCCAGTAGCTTTCTTATGGATTCTTTGGGGTTTTCTGTGTATAAGATCATGTTATCTGTGAATAGGGATACTTTTACTTCTTCCTTATCAATTTGGATGCCCTTTATTTCTTTTTCTTGCCTTATTCCTCTGGCTAGGACCTCCAACACAATGTTGAATAAGAGTGGTGATAAAGGCCCTGACAGGGAACAGAACAGAGAGTCCCTGATGTAGAAGGAGAAAGATGGGGTGCAGAACTCAAATTCTAGTAAAAACACCAGACTTAATGGTCTGACTGAGACTGGAGGAACCCCAGAAAGCATGGCCCCTGGACTGTCTGTCAGCCTAGAACTAAAACAATTTCCGAGGCCAACTCTTCAGACAAAAATTAGTCTGGACTGTGGGACATAAAATGATACTCGTGAAGAGTGTGCTTCCTAGCTCAAGTAGCTACTTGAGACTAAATGGGCAGCTTCTGTCTGGAGGTGAGATGAGAAAGCATAGAGGGTTAGGAGTTGGTTGAATGGCCATGGGAAATCAGGGGTGGAAAGGAGAAGTGTGCTGTCACAGTAGGGAGAGCAATTAGGGTCACATAACAATGTATGTATAAATTTTTGTATAAAAGACTGTCTTGAAATGTAAATTTTCAATTAAACTACAACAATAAACAAACTAAAAAATGTTAAAAAAAAAAAAAAAAAGAGTGGTGATAAATGACATCCTTGTCTGGTCCTGATTCTCAAGAGGAATGCTTTCAGTCTCTTTCCATTTAGAATGATGTTTGCTGTTGACTTTGTATTATGTTGAGGAATTTCCATTCTATTCCTATTTTGCTGTGAGTTTTTATCAGGAATGAGTGTTGGACTTTGTCAAATGCCTTTTCTGCATCTATTGATAAGATCATGTGGTTCTTTTGTTTTATTTATGTGAGGGATCATGTTGATTAATTTTCTAATGTTGAATCATCCCTGCGTACCTTGTATTAATCCCACTTGGTCATGATGTATTATTTTTTGATATGCTGTTGAATTCTATTGGCTAGAATTTTGTTGAGGATTTTTGCATCTATGTTCATGAGGGATATTGGTTTATAATTTTCTTTTTTGTGGTGCCTTTGCCTGGTTTTGGTATCAGGGTTATGCTGGCTTCATAGAATGAGTTCGGGAGTATTCCTTCCTTTTCTGCTCTCTGAAATACCTTTGTAGTCCTGGAGTTAACTCTTCTCTGAAAGTTTGGTAGAATTCTCCAGTGAAGCTGTCTGGGGCAGAACTTTTTTTGTTGGGAGTTTTTTAAATTACCTTTTCAATCTCTTCTTTTGTTATGGATTTATTTAGTTTTTCTACCTAAGTTTGTGTTAGTTTAGGTACATAGTGTGTTTCTAGAAATTTGTCCATTTCCTCTAGGTTTTCAAATTTGTTGGAGTACAATTTTTCATAGTATTCTGTTATGATCCTTTTTATTTCGGTTGGGTCTGTTGTGATAACATCTATCCTGTTTCTTATTCAGGTTATTTGCTTCCTCTCCTGTTTTTCTTTTGTCAGTTTGGCAAGTGGTTTGTCGATTTTGTTGATCTTTTCAAAGAACCACCTTTTGGTCTTGTTGACTCTTTCAATTGTTTTTCTATTCTCTATTTCATTTATTTCTTCTATAATCTTTATTATTTCATTTCTTCTGGTGTCTAAGGGCTTCTTTTTCTGCTCTATTTCTATTTGTTTGAGTTGTAGGGTTAATGTTTTGATTTTGGCCCTTTCCTCTTTTTGGATGTGTGCATTTATTGCTATAAATTGACTTTTAAGCACTGCTTTTACTGTGTGCCAAAGATTTTGGTAAGATGTGTTTTCATTCTCATTTGAGTCTATGAATGTTTTATTCTATCCTTGATTTCTTCTATAGTCTAGTAGTTTTTAAGCAAAGTATTGTTCAGGTTCCACGTGTCTGATTTTTTTTCATTGCTATTTCTGTTACTGATTTCTACTTTCATGGCATTATGATCATAAAAGAGGCCTTGTATTATTTCAATGTTTTGGATTTTGTTAAGGCTTTCTCTGTGGCCTAACATGTGGTCTATTCTGCAGAATGTTCCATGTGTGTTGGAAAAGAATGTATACTTTGCTGCTGTTGGGTGCAGTGTTCTGTATATGTCTATGAGGTCAAGTTGATTGTGGCATTTAGATCTTCCCTATCCTTATTGAGTTTCTTTCTAGATGTTCTGTCCTTCACCAAAAGTGGTGTATTGATAGAAGTCTTCTTAAAGTGGTCAAGAGAAGGAAAGGAAAGAAAAGGAAGAAATTGAGGAAAGGGAGAAAGTTTCAGTGAAATAGGTTTCAGAAAGGAAATTATTGAATTTTATGGGCCCAGGTTTGTGTGAGGAGGTGCTTTGTGGGATGTGGCAATGTACTGGTGCAGTTCATGGTTTTTTAAAGTTGTTTGTAGCTTGATCTGACTTCATGGCCTGAGCTGACACCCCTTTGTGCATTGATGCTGCCTGAGTACCTGTAAGCTGGTGTACTCCAAAAAATTCACTCTGTATTCCATAAGAGTAGTGATGTTTTATTGTAATTAAACAAAATTCAATGGACTGTAGGAATACAGGGAGGAGGATATAAATTCTGATTGCGTGAATCAGGGAAAACGTGTAGTAAGAATAGGGGTTTTCCCTGCATCTTGAAGGAAGCATGAAACATCAGTTTACCAATATGTAGAAGAAGGAAGCATAGTCAAGATAGTCGAATAACTTATACAGAGGCTCAAGGGCAGGAAAATAATAGGAAATGTTTAAGGAATGACAGGTAAATTAATGGGGCTGGAAGAGGAGAATGGAGATCTGGTGGCACAGTAGTTAAGAGCCCAGCTGCTAACCAAAAGGTCGGCAGTTTGAATCCACCAGCCACTCCCTGGAAATCTTATGTGGCAGTTCTACTCTGTCCTATAGGGTTGCTGAGTTGGAATCAACTTTATGGCAACGGGTTTTGTTTCTTTTTGGGGGAAGAGAGGAGGCAGAAATGTTTTGGGTGATGAAGTATGTTGGGGTCAGATTGTGGTAGACTTTGAATTTCAAGCAAAGAAGTCTGGGTTTATCTATATGCAGTGGAAAGCCATTGAACATATGTAAGGAGAGGAATGAAGTATTTAGTTCAGAAAGAAAACTCTGATAGCAGTATGAATGGGGATGAGAATGACAAGAAGACCATTTAGGAAGCCAGATAGGTATTTCCAAGGTGGAGTGAACAGAAGTTGGGGAATTACTGCATGGAGTAAAGTGAGGGGCTGTAAGGAAATACAAACATCCATGCAGAGATACAAACTAAATTCTTGAGAGGATGGATTTGTTTTGAGGCCAACAAAGCAATTCTGAATGCCTGGAGGCCTGGAAAATTAGGAGTTAAATTAATGAATGGAAATGGATGAAGTAGTATGGGACAGTATTATGGCAGTATTATTGTTTCCCCCCCAATTTTCCTGGAATAATTCTCTTCCTCCTAGGTAGAACATTCATTCTTCATGTTAAACATTAGTGTAGAATGTGCTTTTTCCTGAGAGGCAAGTCAGAAAAGTGTAAAACAGTTCTGGCCAATTTAATTGAACATAGCACCAGAAGTTTCCTCCCAGTAGAATTACCTTCAATTCAGTTTAAATCAACATTGATTTATTTGAACCTTTGCCACATGCAGGGGTAACTGAAAAGGGTGGGAGCAGTGATGATACAGGTGGATCCTGAGCTTCTGGTTACTTATTTTCATTTGCAGCTCCTTGACCTGCTGTTAGCCTCTTCAGAGCAGACTTCACATCCTGGTTCCTCAGAGTATAGATAAGGGGTTCAGTAATGGAGTGACAACAGCGTAAAACACAACCACTGCTCCATCCAGGGGACCCTTGGAGCCAGGCCTGAGGCAGATGAAAATACAGGGTACATAGTAGACAGTGACCACAGTTAGGTGGGAGCCACACGTGGAGAAGGCCCTGCGCCGCCCATCGGCGGTGTGTATCTTCAGGATGGCATGGACTCTGTTGGCATAGGAGAGCAGAATTAACATAAAGCAGCTAGCGGCCACTACTCCAATGTCCACAAAGGTCACGAGCTGGTTGATAGTTGTGTCAGCAAAGGCCAGTCTCAACACTGCTGGGATGTCACAGAAAAAGTAATCCACCTCGTTGGGCCCACAGTAGGGCAGATGGAAGGTCAGGGTGGCCTGGATAGACCCATGGATGGAGTCAGCTACCCAAGCTCCAGCCACAAGGATAGTGCATAATCTCCCATTCATGAGCACAGGGTAGTTCAGGGGCTGGCATATTGCCAGGTACCTGTCCTAGGCCATCAAAGTGTAGAGGAAGCACTGGGTGCTACCCAGGAAGTGAAAGTCATATAGCTGAGCCGTACAGCCACCAAATGGGATAGCCTTGCTGGCAGGAGTGAAGTTTAGAATAATACGAGGGACAATGACTGAGGAGAGCCACATGTCCAGGAATGAGAGCACGCCCAGAAGGATGTACATGGGGCGTGCATGGAGCTTTGGGTGAGCCCACACGGTGAGCAGAATGAGCAGGTTCCCCAGTTGAGTCAGGATGTAAATGATGACGAAGATCAGGAAGAGGAGGATCCTCAGCTTTGGGGGGAGAGACAAATCCAGGAGAATGAAATCTGTCACCACAGTGTCCAGGGATATATTGTTAGTCTTGCCCATGCTTTTCTGGGGTCTGCTAAGATGAATGCTGAAATCAGACAAGAGGAACACAATCCAGTGAGGTGGTGTCTTAGTTATCTGGTGCGGCTATAACAGAAATAAAACAAGTAGATAGCTTTAATAAACAGAAATTTATTTTATCACAGTTTAGGAAGCTAGAAGTCTGAATTTAGAGGGCCGGCTCGAGGGGAAGTCTTTCTCTCTCTGTCAGCTCTGGAGGAAAATCCTTGTCTCTTCAGCTTCTCTTCCTGGTTCATTGGAGATCTCCATATGCCTTGGCATCTTACTCCATCTGTCTCTCTGCTTACTTGTTTAATCTCTTTTTATATTTCAAAAGAGGTGGACTCAAGATACACCCTACACTAATCCTTCCTGATTAACATAACAAAGACAACCCATTCCCAAATGTGATTATGACCACAGGCATAACCTGTTGCCATCAAGTTGATTCCTACTCATAGCAACCCTATAGGACAGAGTAGAACTGCCCCATAGGGTTTCCAAGGAGGGCCTGGTGGATTTGAACTGCTGACCTTTTGGATAGCAGCTGTAGCTCTTAATCTCTACCCTACCAGGGTTAACTACAGACATGGAGGTTAGGATTTACAACACATATTTTAGGAGACATCACTCACTCCATAACCGGTGGTAAGAGAATGTTTTTTGTCTGATTACCAGAGCCTAAGAGATAAATAGAGGACATCAATATTTTAAGTAAAGAAAGCATTTGCTATCAATCATCTTGGGAAGACAAGTTCTCAGAAGCTTGTTAGTTTTTTAAATGTCCTGAAATGCTCCTTCTATGGGAGACACTACATGCAAATAGTGGAAGTCGAGGAACAGGGTTGTGTCTGAATGATAGTGTAAGTGCATATGATGAGCCTATGCCCCCAAAGGGACTACGGAAAAGTGGATTTTGGTGATATGGAGCAGTGTGGAATAATTATTCCACAAATGTCATCCTATTGTTGTGCTCTGACTTAATATCTTTGAAATGTTTCTTTTCACCACCTACAAGAACCTTTGAGATATGGCCCTTGAATATCTCAATAGTCTTCTTTCCTTCAGTTTCCTACTTCCTTCTGGACCTATGTGTATCCTGATACATCTGGTTAGTATCTCTTCATTCTTCAGGATCCAGTTTGGTGGTCACCTCCTTTGGAAAGAGTTTGCCTCCCCTAGAGTGCAATCTTCTGGGAGAGAAGAGCTTATATTATAAAAGGTGGTTGCAGTACCTTATGACAAGAGCAATTTACTTAAATGTTTATTGGTTTCTTATACTATTGCAGGCATTAGTGAGCTGAAATGGACTGGTATTGGCCATTTTGAATCAGACAATCATATGGTCTACTACACCAGGAATGACAAATTAAAGAGGAACAGTGTTGCATTCATCGTCAAAAAGAACATTTTAAGATCTATCCTGAAATAAACGCTGTCAGTGATAGGATAGTACCTATACACCTACAAGGAAAACCAGTTAATATGACTATTACTCAAATTTATGCACCAACCACTAATGCCAAAGATGAAAAAATTGAAGATTTTTACCAACTTCTGCAGTCTGAAATTGATCGAACATGCAATCAAGATGCATTGATAATTACTGGTGATTGGAATACGAAAGCTGGAAACAAAGAAGGATTGGTAGTTAGAAAATATGGCCTTGGTGATAGAAATGATGTTTTAGATAGCATGATAGAATTTTGCAAGACCAATGACTTCTTCATTGCAAATACCTTTTCTCAACAACATAAACGATGACTTTACTCTTGGAACTTACCGATTGGAATATACAGGAATCAAATCTACTACATCTGTGGAAGTAGATGATGGAAAAGCCCAATATCATCAGTCAGAACAAGGCCAGGGGCTGACTGCGGAACAGACCATCAATTGCTCATATGCAACTTCAAGTTGAAACTGAAGAAAATGAAAATTAGTCCATGAGAGCCAAAGTACGACTTTTGAGTATATCCTGCCTGAATTTAGAGACCATTTCAAGAATAAATTTGACGCATTGAACACTAATGATCAAACACCAGATGAGTTGTGGAATGACATTAAGGACATCATACATGAAGAAATCAAAGGTCATTAAAAAGAGGAAAGAAAGAAAGGACCAAATGGATGTCAGAAGAGACTCTGAAACTTTCTCTTGAACATAGAGCAGCTAAAGCAAAACGAAGAAATGATGAAGTAACAGAGCTGAACAGAAGATTTCAAAGGGCTGCTGGAGAAGACAAAGTGTCATAATGAAATAAGCAAAGACCTGGAGTAGAAAACCAAAAATGAAAAACAAACATGACATTTTTCAAGCTGAAAGAACTGACAAAATAATTCAAACCTCAAGTTACAATATTGAAGGATTCTATGGACAAAACACTGAACAATACAGGAAGCATCAAAAGAAGATGGAAGGAATACACAGTTACTATATGAAAAAGAACTGGTCGATGATCAACCACTTCAGGAGCTAACATATGATCAAGAACTGATAGTACTGAAGGAAGAAGTCCAACCTGCACTGAAAGCATTGGAGAAAAACAAGGCTGCAGGAATTGATGGAATACCATTGAGATGTTTCAACAAATGGATGCAACGCTGGAAACGTTCACTTGTCTATGCCAAGAAATTTGGAAAACAGCTACCTGGCCAACCTTCTGGAAGAGATATATATATGTGCCCCTTCCAATGAAAGGCATTCCAACAGAATTCAGAAATTATAGAACAATATCATTAATATCGCATGCAAGTAAAATTTTTCTGAAGGTAATTAAAAAATGGTTGCCGCAGTACATTGACAGGGAACTGCCAGAAATTTAAGCTGGTTTCAGAAGAGGATGTGGAATGAGGGATATCATTGCTAATGCCAGATGGATCTTGGCTGAGAGCAAAATACCAGAAAGATGTTTACTTGTGTTTTACTGGCTGTGCAAAGGCATTCGACTATGTGGATCATAACAAATTATGGATAATATTGCAAAGAATGGGAATTCCAGAACACTTAATTGTGCTTATGCAGAACCTGTACCAAGAAGCAGTTGTTCAAATAGAGAAAGGGGATACTGAGTGGTTTAAAATCAAGAAAGATGTACGTTAGAGTTGTATCCTTTCACCATACTTATTCAATGTATATGCTGAGCAAATAATCTGAGAAGTTAGCTGGACTATATGAAGAAGAATGCGGCATCAGGATTGGAGGAAGACTCATTAACAACCGGCGATATGCAGATGATGCGACCTTGCTTGCTGAAGATGAAGAGGACTTGAAGCAATTACTTCAAAGTGATGTATGGATTACATCTCAACATAAATAAAACAAAAATCCTCACAATTGGACCAATAAACAACATCATGATAAACGGAGAAAAGGTTGAAGTTGTCAAGGATTTCATTTTACTTGTCTCCACAATCAACATCCATGGAAGCAGCAGTCAAGAAATCAAACGACATTTTGCTTTGGGCAAATCTGCTGCAAAAGACCTCTTTAAAACGTTAAAAAGCAAAGATGTCATCTTGCGGATTAAGGTCTGCCTGACCCAAGCCATGGTATTTTCAATTGCTTCATATGAATAAGAAAGACTGAAGAAGAATTAATGCCTTTGAATTACTGTGTTAGTGAAGAATGTTGAATATACCATGAACTGCCAGAAGAATGAACAAATTTGTCTTGGAAGAAGTACGGCCAGAATGTTCCTTAGAAGCGAGGATGGCGAGACTTCATCTCAAGTACTTTCGCATGTTATCAAGAGGGACAAATCCCTGGAGAAGGACATCGTGCTTGGTAAAGTAGAGGGTCAGCAAAAAAGAGGTAGACCCTCAACGAGATGGATTGACACAATGGCTGCAGTAATGGGCTCAAATGTAGCAACGATTGTGAGGATGGTGAAGGACTGGGCAGTGTTTCTTTCTATTGTACATAGGGTCACTACGAGTTGGAACATACTCGACAGCACCTAAGAACAACAACATAAGCTCGTCTAGAGCAAAGATCAAATCTGTTTTGTCCTTTGATGTATCTGTAACATCTGCCTGAGTGCTGGGCAACAGGAAGTTAATAATTATCTGTTGACTGACTGGCTGACTGAATGAATGTTGTCAACTGATATTCTTGCGTCATGTTTCCTATGATCACGTCTCTCATGCTTTGTGCCACATAGTCAGGGACTGTAGGGTGAGGGATTAGCCTTACACTTCAAGAAATATGGGTCTGTTTCTAGTGTAAACAAAGTGCAAAGGACTATCCAGGCTTTCTACTTACTCTAGAATGTTATTTAAATGTGGTTGACCTAAGTAGTTCATTGGTTTAGGGAACGGGTTTTTTAAAGTAGTTTATTGGTTTGGGTATTTTGAATTATAAAAGCTTTGAATACTACAACATTTGACCTTTAGTATGTTGTTATTTTAATAGAACTTATTTCCATTCCAGCATATAGAATTCTCAAAAACCCTATAAGGTTTTAAACATTTGAGCCAGAAATTATTTAAAAACTCCCTTTGATTAATAGTTTGTTCAAAAAAAGATTTTTTTCCTCACAGTAGTGTTTTTGTTATTGTACTTGTTGCTGAAACCAAAACATCTTTATAATTCTGAAGAAACAATAAAAATTTTAAACTAATTAGAAGCTAATTATACAGAGATGTATAAACAGATCTAACCTCTGGAATGCCACTAGAAAATTTCCTTTTTATAAACACCAATCTCAAACATATTTTTACCTTCATTATTATTTAAAAAATAATTACATGGATATAATATTAAAACTCAGTAATTATTAATAATACCAAATGTATCCTGCTCTATAGGTTCATAGAAAATATTAATTATAGACTTTGCCCTCACATACACACAAGAATATGTTACATTTCTATTACCTAATTTTCAGGAAGAAGGAGGGATTTCTTTTAGGTAGATGGACAGCACTTTCTTTGGCAAGAACAGAAGGAGATGGAAAAGTTTGAGAGCAGGTATATGATGTAAATTATAACTCAAATTT